AAAGAAGCAGACACAAAGTAGAGCAACAGAAACATGAAACACTAACGCAGAAAGCAAGCACACACATGCACGGAAAACACGCTAAAAAACAGAGCATGAATGAAATGCAGAAAAGAGAGAAAAAGAAAACCACAGAAGGAGCAATAAGCAACCAACATACGTACACTTTTTCGGCTAGCAGAAAAAAAGGAAACAGAACCAAATATGCAGCATGCAGAGTAGACAAAATAGTAGATAAAGCAGACATTACAGCAAGGAAAAAGTGAGATGAAACATAGCACAAACGCAGCACCCACACGCCAGCTGAAACGAGCACAGAAAAACGCAAAAAAAGGCAAAACACATAGCCACACGAAAATGAATAATGCAGAGCAGTAAAGGGAGAAGAAAAGAGTAGAAAAAACGGCAAAAAATGGAGGAATGAGAGAGCATAAAAGAGAGTGAGAAAACAGAGCAGAAGGAGGAGAAACTGAAAATAAAAAACAGAGATAGAGGAGAGAGTCCGAGAGAAGATGGAGAGTGAGAAAGAGATGGAGAGTGAAAGATGAGGAAGAAATCGAGAAGAACAGAGCATGAAGGAAACACCGCATGCACGAGAAAAACAGGGCATCGGGACCAGAAAAAAGGAAGGAAGGAGAGAAACGAAATGCAAAAAAGATAAAGAGAAGAGGGCATCTGGAAAGAAAGAGAGAAACGGAGAAGGAGAGAGGAGAAGGAAACTAAGAAACAGAGTTTGAAGGAGAGGGAGAAGAGAGAGACCGAAGAAGGAAAAAAAAAACAAACAGAAAGCACAAGAGCATAGGGGACGGAAGAAAAGAAACTCAAACTGAACGAGAAAAACGGAGCAAAAAACCAGACGAAGAAGAAAAGAAACTGGAGCATGAGAAGCAGAGCATCGAGACAAGGAATTTCTGAGGGAGAATAAGACAGAGAAGGAGTGCTGTATCTGGCAAGAAGATTCTTCTGAAACTTGAAAAAATGAAGGAAGATAAGTTCGCTGAAAGTACTGCGCCGGACACCATCGTCTTTATCTCACCCCAAAAACTTGGCAAGCTGCATAGGACAGCTGCATCTCTCATCTTGCTGCTTCTCTTTCACTTTATGTTTCTTCCTCTTATGCCTATAGTTTTTACTTCAATATTTTTCCTTATTCTTCTTTAGTCTGTTATTCTTCTTGTGCCTTTCTGCATGATGAGATGAATCATGCTCGCTGTCAGATGAACTTTCACTTCTAGAGCAGTCGGACATGGAACATGAATAATATGAATCAAAAGAGCGGTGGTGCCTCCGACGTGTTTTGGAGTGAGATTTAACCTTTAGGGCTTCTCTATCTCGGACCCGGTGACTTATGTACGTTCTTTCTTGCTTAAAATTTTGTACTCCTTTTAAAATTTCATGTGCCTATTTCTTTCAATCATATTATTTTGGAAAAAGTTAAGAGTATGCATATGTTTAATATGAGACTATTGTTTATTCACAAATAACTTTAAGGCATCAACTTCATTTTGATTTTCATGCAAAATAAATTAGGTAATTAATGGTGGTGATGGTATGCGGATCTTGTTAATTTTAATTGTTGGATGTTATTACTATTACTCTCATCATTTTCTTTCGAAAGTCATATCTGAGCATAAAACCAATTAAAAAATCTTGAGGAACATATCTTCAAGTTAAAAGAGGAGTGAAGTGTCAAAATAATTTCTTTCTCTATTCTTTCAAAAGCTAACTCATATTATGCACCGACTGCAAATGCAAATATTTTGATTATCTATTTGTCGTGTGAGATTTTAAGAATCTCCGTAGGCATTTAGAATGATTTCATACCGTGTAAATCAATAAGATTTTACAGGTATGAAGATCAATCTTATAGGTATTTATATGGGTTTTAAAGGCCCATCATTAAAATTAACTCTCTTTTTATAATTTAAATCAATAAAATATTTAAGTCTCATGTGAGATTTTAAGTATCTTCGTAGAGACTTAAATTAATCACATTATCGTGTGGGATAATAAATGCTCGCAGATATAGTGATTCACAATTTGTATGGTGAATACATAAACGAATTTTGTAAATAAAATAATAAACATTTTTTATAATATTAATTAATTAAGTTAATAATTATATTGTCTAATTAGATCTTTTGGTCATGTGAGTTTTTTAAAAAAAACTCCATAGACCTTTAAGATGATCGTACTACCGTGTGAGTCAATAAGGCTTCGCAGGTATAACGATTAAGATTTGTATATTAAAAAATATGTGTTATATAATTACACATTAAAATATATTCAAAGTGAATATTATTTAATCCTTTTATCGTATAAGACTTTGAATCTCTGCAGATATTCAGGATAATCTCGTGTCGTGTAAATCGATAAGATTTCGCAAATATGGGAGCAAAACTTATATATTAAAATTAACTCTCCTTTTATAATCTAAATTAATAATTTATTTAAGTCTCATGTGAGATTTCAAGAATCTTTATAGAGACTTAAATTAATCACATCCTCGTAGGGATAATAAGTCCTCACAAATGTATTGATTATTAATTTTTATAATAAATAAATAATTTTTGTAAATAATGATATAATACATAATTTAGAAAAATTAATCAATCAAATTAACGTATTTAAATGGTAATCATATTCACTAATTATATCTTTTAGTCATGTGAGATTTTTAAATCTCCGTAGACTTCTAAGATAATCGTATTATTGTATGAGTCAATAAGACTCTGCAGGTATAATGATTAAGTTTTTAAAATATATATAAGTTATATATTAAATTAATTAAATTAAAGATGTATTTAAATTTAATTCCTTTATCGTATGAGATTTTAGAATCTCCACAGATATTTAGGATAATCATATTACCGTATAAGTCAATAAGGCTTTGCAGGCATGTTGATTAAAATTTTTCAAAACATGTATCTACATGCTAAAAATTTTTTTTATTAACACTTAAAAGGTACATAAGAATATAAATAAATAAATTAAATTGCTAAATTCTTTTATCGTGTGAAATTTCAGAATCTCCGCAGATATTTAGGGCAATTGCATTACCATATGAACTAATAAGGTTCTACAGGTACTGCGATTAAAATTTTCAATCATAAAACATCAAGAAAAATAATTTTAAACCCTTTCTTTATTCCAAAAATTCAAAAAGGGAGAAAATAATTAAAATTAAATTACTTTTTGTAATTCAAAACACACATCAAAATTTCATAAATCATTTTATTTGCAAAATGGTGAATTATTTCTAATTGATTTCTCTTCAAAAAATGTTTTCACCAACAAACTTTTAAGCCCGAACTACGTGGACTTTGATTCCCATCATAGGGTACGTAGGCCTCAGAGTCAGATTCTGAGTCAAGTCCGTCCTCCCTCGTAAATAAATAAACATTTCTCACTTAATTCTTATCATTTTTATCAAACATATGAATATAAAAGGGATGATTAAAATAATTAAAAAACCATATTAATAGAGCACAGCAAACTTCAGGTAACCGTTCTGCCGAACGGGTGTTGTGGGGTGCCTAACACCTTCCCCACACTCAATTGACTCCCGAACCTATTCTCTGATTTTGCAAACCAACCTTATCCTCCTTTTAATCAATTTCCCGAGATTTCCCTCAAAATCTTAGTGGCAACTCCTCGTTCGATTCGGTTCCCGCCGTGAAGGCCGGGACCTCCGCTCGCGTGCTATCCGCGTTGCATTTTTCCAGGTGCGACACCAGTTAGTCCATAGGAATGGTAGAGAAGGCTTTAGAAGGACACTTATTGATGACATCACCAAAAAGGTTAAAGTTAGAGCTCCTGAGTTTGATGGACGATTGAATCCTAATGCATTCCTGGATTGGTTAGCCAGCATGGAAGATTATTTTGAATGGTATGACATGAGAGATATTCAGCGAGTTTGGTTTACGAAGATGAAGCTCGTGGAATCTGCTAGGAAATACTAGCAAAATGTCCAAAGGAATATTGAGCGACAAGGTTATCCACTGGTTGAGACGTGGGATGAAATGAAGGCCAAGCTGAAAGAAAAATATGTACCGACTCATTATAAGAGTCAACTGTATGACAAATACCTTAATTTGAGGCAAATCTCCATAGCTTTCGAGTATATTTCTCAATTCGATGACCTTATGATTAGATGTGACGTGGATGAAGAGGAATGGCGCACCATTACCAAGTTTGTTAATGGTCTCAAGCCATATCTACAGAAGGAGCTCAAGTTAAACTTTTCAGAGTCTCTTGAAGAAGCTTATCATAAGACTTTGGAAGTAGAGTCTCTATCACAGTACTCGTCTGCAAAGCGTATCGACATGCAGAGCAATCAGTTTAAACAAGCACGAACTTCCAGTCTGTCTGAACGACTAATAGGAGCACTTACATCTAGGCCTAGCTCGTCTTTTACACCTACTCAAGCAATTGGGTTAAGGGGTAATACTTCTAAGCAGCCTAATGAGGCTATAGTTCCTACTTCCCGCCATAACAATTCCTTTGTCGAGTGTTTTCGTTGTCACTTAAAGGGTCATATTGCATCAAAATGCCCACAGCGTACTCTAGTTATTGACTCACAATATGAAGGTGAGGAAGACAATGCAAATGCTGACGTTGTCGTAGATCCAGTTGAGTATCCTTCAGATGTCAATGAGGACATCATCATTGATGAACATGGGTATGAGACACGTCGAGTTGGAGTTATGCAATGCATTCTATCTATCCCTCTGCCTAGTGATTCATGGAAGTGAACAAGTATTTTCCATACTTTTGTGAAGTGTGGAGATAAAGCTTGCAAATTGGTGATTGATGGAGGGAGTTCTAGAAATGTTATTTCTAGTCAAGGAGTAGCCTGACTTAATCTCAAGACAGAACCTCACCCAGAACCTTTTCATGTTGCATGGATCGACAAAACTTCTTTACCAGTCACCTAACAATGTCGCATTCCTCTTCACGTAGGTGACTATAAAGAAGAGATTATTTGTGATGTTCTTCCAATGGATGTTGCTCACATTTTACTTGGTCGACTGTGGCTTTATGACCACAATGTTATCAATCATGGTCGTGAGAATACCTATACATTTAAGCATGGAGGCAAGACGATCTTGTTATGACCTGCTAAGCCTGACAACGAAGGCAAAGGCTCAAGTAAATCAAAGGGCACAAAACCCAAAACCCACAATTTGCATCTTCTGACAGAAAAACAGTTTGTACAAGAAAGCAGAGAGAGTACGATCGTGTTTATTTTGGTATCCAAGATCTCGCAACGAATTGCTACTACTTCAGAAATGCCAGAGGAAGTGCAACAGCTCTTACAACAATTTCAGGATATCACGCTCGATGAGCTTCCATTTGAATTACCACCAATGAGAGAGATCCAACATGCAATTGATTTCATTCTAGGTTCACAACTCCCCTATCTACCGCACTACAGGATGAACCCTAAAGATAGAGTAGAGCTTAACTGATAAGTCAGTGGATTGTTGGAAAAGGGTTATATCCAGCATAGTATAAGTCCTTGTGCAGTACCTGCTCTTTTAACCCCAAAGAAAGACGGCTCTTGGAGAATGTGTGTAGACAGCAGAGCCATCAACAAGATCACCATCAAATATAGGTTTCCTATTCCTAGACTTGATGACATGCTTGATTTAGTGTCTGGATCTAGTTGGTTTTCAAATATTGACCTCAGAAGTGGTTATCATCAGATCAGGATTAAGCTTGGAGATGAGTGGAAGACTGCTTTTAAAATGCAAGATGGGTTGTTTGAATGGCTTGTCATGCCTTTTGGGTTATCAAATGCCCCAAGTACATTCATGAGAGTAATGACTCACCTCCTTCGCTCGTATTTGGGAAAGTTTTTGGTGGTATACTTTGATGACATACTAGTTTTTAGCAAGTCAAAAGAAGAACACTTGGAACATCTCAAGTTAATTTTTCTCACCTTGCGTCAAGTACAGTTTTATGTTAACTTGCCTAAGTGTTCATTTCTTCAAAATTAAGTCATCTTCTTAGGTTTCATAGTTTCTGAAAGGGGTCTAGCAGCTGACCCTGAGAAAGTCCAAGCCATTCAAGAATGGCCTGAGCCACAATCTCTCCATGAAGTACAGAGTTTTCATGGCCTTACTTCTTTCTATAGACGCTTCATTAGAAACTTCAGTACCATTATGGCTCCTATCACTGATTACTTAAAACAAGACAAGTTTCAGTGGACATCTACAGCTTCCATAGCTTTCCAAGATATTAAGAAAAGACTTTCTCAAGCTCCAGTCTTGTCTTTACCGGATTTTACAAAGTATTTTGAAGTTGCTTGTGATGCATTTGGAACAGGAATTGGAGGTGTACTAAGCCAAGAAGGTCACCCTGTGGCTTTTTTTAGCGAAAAGCTCAATGATGCAAAACAAAAGTACTCCACTTATGATAAGAAATTTTATGCGATTGTGAGATCCCTTGAGTATTGGAAGTACTATCTTCTTCTGTAATAATTTATTCTATACTCTGATCATCAGGCGCTTAGGTTTATCAACTCTCAGCGGCACTTAAATGCTAAACATGCTAAATGGGTTGAGTATATTTAGGGATTCACTTTTGTGGTCAAGCATCGTTTAGGAACAGAAAATATAGTGGCTGATGCCCTGAGCCGTCGGATCAACTTGTTGCACATTATGAGCGTTAGTGTTGTTGGTTTTGAAAACTTGAAGGAAGACTATGCTTCATGTCCAGATTTTAGGATAATATACCAAGAAGTTCGCAGTGGTAATCATCATGAGCATGTTGATTTCATCCTTAAAGACAGTCATCTCTTTTGTGGGAGCAAGCTGTGCATCCCACGTACTTCTATGTGAGATTTTCTTATATGGGAGTTACACGCTGGAGGTTTAGCTGGTCATTTCGGGGTTAATAAGATAATGGCATTAGTCGAAGATAGGTTCTACTGGCCTTCACTCAAGCATGATATGGCTCGCATAGTGTCTCAATGTCGAAATTGTCAAACTTCTAAAGCCAGGCGACAGAATACCGGTTGGTATACTCCTTTGCCGATTCTCGAGGCACCTTAAAAAGACTTGAGTATGGATTTTGTCTTAGGATTACCTCGCACAGCTAGAGGTCATGACTCTGTATTAGTTGTTGTGGACAGGTTTTCAAAAATAGCTCACTTTATTCCTTGTAGCAAAACTACGGATGCTTCACATCTGGCAAAGTTGTTCTTCAAGGAGATTGTACGTCTGCATGGGTTACTTACCACTATTGTATCTGATAGAGATGTCAAGTTTGTTAGCTACTTTTGGAAGACCCTATGGAAACTTTTTGGTACCCAATTAAAGTTCTCTTCTGCTTTTCACCCTCAAACTGATGGGCAAACTGAAGTCACTAATCACAGTTTGGGTAATTTGCTTCGGAGTTTAGTTGGAGACAGGCCAAAGAATTAGGATTTGGTTCTACCCACTGCAGAGTTTGCATATAATAATTCAGTGAATAGGTCTACAGGCATGAGTCCCTTCCAGATTGTTCAAGGTTTTAATCCTAAACAGCCTATTGACCTCCTGCCAATCCCGTTGACATTTCACATTTCTGAATCTGCGAAATCCTTTGCCAATCGCCTTCATGACTTACATGCTGAAATTAGGCGCAAATTAGCGACAAGTAATGATCAATATAAATTATCTGCTAATACTCATCGTCGATTTCAAAGCTTTGAAATAGGTGATTATGTTATGGCTCGCATTCATCTAGAACGTTACCCTAAACACGCTTTTAAAAAGTTGCATGCTCGAGCTACGGGACCTTTTCGCATAATAAAGAAATTAGGACCTAATGCTTATCTTTTAGAACTACCTTCTGATATGGCCATTAGTCCAGTTTTTAATGTAAAGGATCTTATGCCTTACCGGGGAACTTTTGAGCCTTCCCCTTTGCTTTCTGATGATTTTGCAGGTACTAAGCCTTCACAAGTGCCAATTCCATCATTGCCTGCTGTCTCACCATTAGTTGATGAAATCGAGACCATTATGGATGATCAAATGGTCTTTACCTCTGAGGGGCCCATCCGTCGTTATTTGGTTCGTTGGAGAGGTCGATCTGATGAAGATGCCACCTGGATTTCAGAAGATGAATTTCAACAACTTAATCCTGCCTTGCTAGAAACCTATCAACTCTCTACCTCTCCGGAGGAGAGTTCTTTGCAGCAGGGGAGAATTGATAGAAAATATGACAAATGTTATTTTAGAAAGAAATAATTATTTTTGCATTATTTAGTATTTTGTAAGTTTCCTTCTAAGGAAGGAAACTGCTTTTATTTTTTTTACTCTTTATAAATTTTAAATCTGCAAGTTGAGCTTTCCTTATAGGGAAGGAAACCTCAAGCTTATATTTTATTTCATTTTATGTATCCTTCATAAGAAGGAAACCTTAATTGTGGCTTCTATAAAAAGCCACCATGCAGCACATGTAAGGGAGTTCTTAGAGTTGGAATGAATTGCTGAATTTTGTGAATGTTTCTCAGCCCTGCGTCTCTCCCCTTCTATTCCCCTATCTATTAGTTCTGCGTTCCTCTCCACTTCCCCTACTTTCTTTGTTTTCTGTCATCTCTCCCCTCTGTTTTCGCTCCCCCTTCACCTCTCACTCTCTGATTCTGTTTCTTCTTCCTCATCCTATTCTGTTCAAATCAATGTGAGTGTGTGTATTTTACATCACCTAGTAACAAACATAACCTTCAATTATAAAAAAAAGTGCAAGCTAACGCAATTACCAGAATAAAGTGTTTTCCAACGTTATAAACAGCAACCATTGAAGTTGCTGGAAGGGACAAAACACAGAAAATACTCGCTCCTTGCCCAGTGAAAAGCAGTTAAAATCCTAAATGTCCTCATTAATGGTTTCAATGTAAAACCCAAAATAAATATCTTACACGTAATTAATCATCAATTAGTGGCTTCGTTAAGCAAATGGTTTCTTGCAACACGACCACACTCCTTAACCTTACAAGTTCGTTCCTTTCGAATCGGTTTCGTGATTTCGTCTCTTTGTCAATCTCCCCTCACATTTCTCACTCTCCATGTCTCCATCACAATACTTTACAATCAAACACTCACAGAATCGTACGTCTTCTTCTTCGTCCTCACTATGGTTTGTGGCGAGTTTGGAATCCCACCAACCTGATCTGGATTGGAGGGTTAATGGAGGTCGAGAGGGTTAACCGACCTGGTCGGTTTACAGATTTTGAGCTTGCATGCATCAATTGTTAGGTGCATGTTATTCTTTGAAGTATGGTAAACATTTTGGTAGTCATAGAGTGTTTTTTCGTCGGCTACTTTGTTCAAATCTAAAGCCCAAAGTTTCAAAAAAAAATTTCAGATCTTTATTTTGGTGTTTGCATGCATGATTTCTCCCATTTAAAAATTGAATCCTGTTTGTGAAAACTTTTAGATTATTTTTCTGATGTCAAACAGTCCAGAATCACATTTTTTTCAAACTCTTCGTACACTGGTTCGGAGATGTGTCTGCCATATACCCATGCTCCGGATTCATTGGACCTATTTTTTGGGCTAGTCCCACTCAAATGTTTTTTTTTCTTTTTAATGGTGATTTTTCTAGAATTTTTTGAGGCCTATAAATATGTATTATGGTTTTTCTAAAATTATACTGTTTTCTTAGAATTTTGAGCTGAAAAAATTCATGCATAACCTAAATAATATTTTTGACTTTGGTGAAAAGTCACTCTCCCTAATCATTCATGTATATTTTTTAATAAATTCTCGAACTCTTATAATATAATATACATAATTACATTATTAGTGTTAGAATTTTATAATTTTCTTATGCACTTTGGCATCCTTGTACTATCTTTTGTTTATAGAATTGCATTAATAATGGATACGCCATATCGGTGTAGCATTGCTGATATCATTTATTATTTTAAATTCATATATTAAAATTAATATCTTAATACTTTTTGTACTCCATCGGTATGAGGAATTGAACATATCTTGTTATTGGGCTAAATTGATGGTGCATCAGTTACTCAATTTTCTATAATTTAAGACCCTTAGGCTGAATTATGACAAACTGTAGTTTTGAGTACAATTGCATAAGCTAGATTTAAGGAAACTTTTGTTATAATTACAATGTGCACATAATTAACGTTTCCTTGTCTTGTTTTACACCAGCTTCTGTTACTAGGCAATTGTCATTTGTTAAAACTCTAGATGGCATAAATTTTAGAGACTAGAATTTGTGCGTGTATTTAGTTAGAGCTGAGAAATGAAAGGGCTCAACCCTTATAGATCTAATTTCTGTTCCTAAGCAATTGTCATTTGTTAAAACTTTGGATGGCATAAATGTTAGAGACTAGAAATAGTTTTGGTGCATGCATTTAGTTAGAGTTGAGAAATGGGCGGATTCAGCTATTATAGGCCAGGCCTATAAAGGTTTGAGCCATAAAGTCCAGTTTTTTATTTTTATCTCTTTTTTTATGCTTGGCCCTTATTTGAAGAGATTAGGGTCGGGCTCACAAGCCCTGTTCTAAAGTAATTTTAGGTTGCGTTTGGATGGGTGGATTTAAGTTAAAAATTTAAATTTAAAATTTCATATTTAAAATTTTAGATTTGAAATTCATAGATTTGAAATTCTTTATTTGGATGATAAAAAAAAATTTTAAGTTTTAATATTAAAATTTTTTGTTTGAATCTAAAGTAAAATTTTAAATTTTAAATTTTATATTTGAATTTAAAAGAAATTCAAAGATTGCCTAAAATCAACGGTCCAAATTAGAGCTGAGAAAATGAGTTGAACCCATAAGCTAACCCGTTTAACCCATCAATTTTGATAGATTCAGTTGAAAGAATTGGCCCGTTTTTAAAAATAGGCTGGGCTAACCCAACCCACAAAATTAGTAGGTTAAAATGGCCTGGCCCATAGGCTAGCCTATTTTTTTAAAAGATAATTTATTTTTTAATTATAATATATCGTCTCATAAATCTATAATAATGATAATTTTTTTAAATTTATAATTTATTATTCTCAAATATATTCTTTATATTTAAAAGATAATGTAAATCTTTATTACAATTTGCAAATGAAATTTTGTTATAGTTTGTAAATTAAGAATTTATTAGTTTTTATAAAAATATTTTGAATATATTTATTAATCTCAAAAGATTTATTCATTGAAATCACAAATATTAATTCATTGAAAAAATAATATGTGTTTATATTTAAATTTTTCTTTTCAATGAGAAAGACAACACATCTAGATGAGAAGATAATTAATAGTAAAAATTTAGCAATTTTTTTTAATATTTTGGCTTCATTTTTCTATTTAATTCTTAATCCATAAAAAGAAATTATAAATAATATCAAAATTACATTTAATTTTTTTATATCAAAAATATTTCTAATTGTAATTCTTCTTCTCTTATCAATTTCACATCCATTTTATTATTCAAACTTACTTTTAGTGGGACATCTAAGTAAAAAAACAAAAGGTTTGGATTCTATATTTTTTTAAAGTACCATGGCTTTTCAAGAATGCACAATAGACCACTTAGATTTAAATAGGTGTTGAAAAAATAAACCTTATTGTATGGGATTTGTCTAATAGGATTGAGAGGGGCGATTTAATTTATATGTATATATATGATATGTTAATTATAAATTTTATATTATTTAAAAATATTTTGCGGCAGGCCCACAACCTTCCTAACCCACTAGTGTGTGGGTTGGGTTGGGTTTTCTTAACCCGTTTATCTTGACGGGCTGGCCTGCAACCCATTTGCACAACCTTAGTCCAAATGGCTAATTGCTACCAGGATTAGACAGTCAAAATTGACTGGCATTGTAGCACAAGGGATGACAAGAATGGGACAGCCAACTTCTATTAAGATTGAATTGATAGTGATAATGAGGATCAAACGGTCAACTTTTATAGGGACCGGACTATCGGCGACTATCAAGAAGGGACAATTGACTTCTATAGGGACTGAACCCACTACAACCACTTAGACTGAACGGTCGACTTCCACCAAGATTGAACTAACGACGACCACCATTAAGATAGGACAGTTGACTTCCACTGGGATTAGACCGACGGCTACCACCGAGACAGGACGACCAACTTTCACTGAGACCAAACTAATTGCGATGATGGAGACTAGAGAGTTGATTTCCATAGGGACCAGAAATTTGACTTTCCTTAGGACCTAACCTACAGTGATGACAGGGCTAAACGGCCAACTTCCACTGAGATTAGACTGACAGTGATAATGGGGACCAGACGGCCAACTTCTATAGGGACCGGACAACGAACTTTCATAAGGATAAGATGGCTAACTTCTACTGGGTCCTTGTCATCGCGTTGGTCCGGTCCCTGTGGAAGTGGGCCATCTAGTCCTGGTGGCTACCATTGGTGAGGTCCAAATAGAAGTTGGCCATTTGGTCTTGGTGGTCGCCACTGGTGAGGTCCCAATGGTAGTCGGCTCTTCGATTTTGGTGGTCACCATCGGTTTGGTCTCAGTGAAAGTCATCCGTTTAATCCTGGTAGTCACTATCGGTTCAATCTCGATGGAAGTCGGCCGTTTTGATCTTGATGGTTGCCATCGGTCTGATCTTAAATGAAAGTCATCTGTTTGATCCTAGTGGTTGCCATCGATCTGGTTTTAATGGAAGTCGGCCATCTAATCTTGGTGGTCACTATTAGTCCAGTCCCAAGGGAATTCAGTTGTCCGTCTTGGAGGTTGCCATCTATTCAGTCTCGATGGTTATCATCTGTCCAGTCTATATGGAAATCGATTGACCAGTCCCTGTTGTTACAGTCAGTCTAGTCCTAGTGGAAGTCAACTATCTTATCAAGGTGGTTGCTATCAGTTTGATCCCTATGGAAATTTGCTGTTCATTCTCCATCGTTGTCATATATCTCAGTCTTCACTGTTAGTCTAGTCCTTATGGAAGTTAGCCTTTGGTTCCCATTATCGTCATCAGTATGGTCCTGGTGGAAATTAGTCGTTCAATCCCAGTGGTGGCCAGTTGTTCAGTCCATTGCCATTTGATCTCAGTGGTTATTATCGGTTCGGTCTAGTTGGAAGTCGGCCGTCCAGTCTCAGTCAATGGTTGTGGCTTGTTCCCATCAAATTTGGCAATCCAATCTAATTATTGTTGACGATTCAATCAAGCCTTCATGGATTTGGGTCAATTACAAAAGAGATTGAGTTAAGATATGAAATAATAAGGGTTTAGAAAAGATTTTAAATTACAAAGAGATTGAGGTAAAACTTGGATTTGAATTTGGGTTAAGCCCAAATCCATACATGTTTAATTTCCCAAAAAATGAATTTAGTTCAAATTAAATCCAAATCCAAATGTATCTAAACATAGCATTAAAAAATTAAAATAAAATAAAGCACTACAAATTAATCAAAATATTTTAAATTAAAAAATTAAAATCCTCATAATCTTTTAGAAATTAAACAACACACATTTAGAAGTCTAGTAATAAAATTCAAATCTTGGTTAAAAAATAGTTCATTTTTTATAAATACACAAACATAATAATTATAAAATAATAAAAAATATCAAAAATTTTATACTGTACACTGATATTTATTAAATTATATTAAATTAATTTTAGAATAAATCAAAATTAACAATAATATAATGTGTGTAAGATTAGGGCTTCAGGCAAGTAAGTCCTTAGCTTCAAATGCATGTTCCACTAAAGAAAAAAATAATATAATAGGGCTTGAAGGGCTACTCTGGCCCGACCTTTTTTTACAGGGCTTATCAAAACTAGGTCCTCAAGCCTGATTACTTTAAAAAAATTTTATTTTTAAAGCTTAAATTCTTATTTAAATAGGGCATCTAAGCCTGGCTCTTCGAGGCCGACCCTTATTTCCTACTTACATTTAGCCCTCTGTCAGATTAATTTGACTCTCATATGTGATGCTTTTGTTGAGTTTAGAGCTGATAATTTAGGCCAAATCTAACGGGCCAGCCCAAACACACTTTAAAAAATTTAGGGCGAGGCCCTACAAGAATAATGTTTTTTAACGTCTGGGCTAGCCTAAATAGACTTAAAAAAAATTCAAATCTAGCTTGATCAAGTTTTGGCTTGGCTAAATACCTAAATAAAAAAATATTTTTTTAAAAAATATATAAAATATAATAAATATTAATTAATTCTTTAAGTTTTATGTCATTTTATACTAAAAATACCATATATTTGAATGTGGGTGCATTAATATAGTTATATTTTAAAAAAACTAAAATATTTATATTTTCATATTTTTATTATATTTAATAAAAAATATCTCAAAATAATATTTAAAATATATTTTAATATTTATTTTATATTTGAAGACCCACTTATTTTTTTTAACAAATTTTTTAGTCCTATACATCATTAAAGTGTCCAAGAAAATATATTTTATATTTTTTATAAAATAAGTTAATTAATTTTAAAGTAAAAAGTTAAATTAAAAATAATTTTAAAAGTAAAATTTGGATATGTACGAATTTTTGGCTCTACTATTATGTAACATAATAAATAGAGTAATATCTTTGGATAAAATCTTCAATATTCAAAAATAAATACACAATTTTAGAACATATAAGAGCTACTTTATGTAAATGGAGATCACAATAAAATTACAATACACACTGAATCATAATTAAAAATTTAAAAGCTAAAGAAACTAATAAATGGCATTACTGCAAACATGTCTTATTTTTATTATATTTCTACCACACTAACTATTTTGATTAAGGCAACAATTGGATAAACTCTCACGACAGACATTACATCTGCTAATTAATGTATATGTCACAAAGTTGCAACAAATCAACTTTGATGAACAAGCTAGAATTTCTTAGCTTTTACAGATAAACCTAAGTTCTCACTTGATTAGAAGCTCCAATTGATGATGGCAACCGGTCAACTAGAAATATTTAGGTCAATAATAAATAAAAAATAAATCTTATAGTCAATAAAAATTGAGAAAGAGAAAACCAGTAAGCTCATCTATTTGTAAATAACAATAACATCGTAGCAAGGTGATAATATATTACTTTTAATTAGTTGTGAAGTAATATGTGCCATAAGACATTGATAGAATATGACAACTTGCTCTAGAAATTAAAGTAGGCAAGCCTCCATGAGGAAAAAAACTAACAATGAGCCAAGGATTACCAAAATCCAATAGCAAATTCTATTCCCATGCTCTCATAGAATCCTTTTATGAAAGCATTACCTTCTTCAACAACTTGATCACCTTGTAGTCCATTTCGCAATGGATGATGCTCTTTAGAAGAACAAAGCTTGTCCAATGGGCTCCCACAAAGGTAAGGATTTCTTTTATAGCTAGAGGTATTCAAATTTTGCAATTGTGTTCTGAAAGGAATTTCTCCTGACAAGTTGTTATTTGATAAATCCATAGCATTCAGAAAAGACATTCTTACAAAGACTTGAAAGAATTTTTCTAGAAAAAGGATTTCTCAATAGATTCAAAAAATTCTAATAATTTTAATTTTCCTATCTCAGCAATGATTTCTCGACTCAAATTATTTGATGATAAATTCAAAACTTTCAATTCTATCAATTTCCCAATTCCTGTTGGCATCCTCCCATTAGTTAATTGTGGGAAAGATTTATGACATTGGGAAGCCTGCCACAATCACTGTACTGAAATTCTCTTCCTTTCCATATCACAAGATAGACAAGCTCAAAAGTTATATATCCTCTTCCAAGCATTCCCTTCTTCCTATCAAAAGTGACAAGGTCCCTAAAGAAGTCGAAGACATGTTTTTTAGCCATTGCATCCATCTTGTCTAAGAACCTTGGTATATGTCCTGTAAATTTGTTAAAAGAGAGATCCAATACTCTGACATTTGTTGAATAATAGAGATGGAAGGATGAGTTTCGATCTAATTTATTCATCTGCAAGCTGAGAATTTCAAACAATTTTAGATTATCTCTTGTCCACGAAGGTGGTATTGGTCCTGACAAGTCATTTTTTCCCAAATCTAACAGCTATCCAATTTAGTTGCATTTTTCAATGAGCGAAGCTCACCATTAACAAAATTGTCTCATAAAATTAAATATTGAACTGACTCAATGAAATAATAGAATTAGGAATCCTTTCAGAGAGTTAGTCATTAGATAAATCAAGAAATCTTAATGATTTGAAATGGTTAAGCTAATTAGGAAGTTTTCTTAATAACTTATTACTCAAGAGACTTAATTCAACAACTGGAGAACTCGTACACTTGCATCAAGAAGGAGAAAAATTGAAAATTGATTTTGTGAAATATCAATAGCCATTATTATTAACAAGATCTACAATTGAACCTTCTATTTAATTTGAAGCCAAAAATATTGTCACAGCTTCACTTGATTCACTAGGAAAATTTAGGATTACACCTTTGATATTGCTTAATTTTAAAGATACAAAAAATTACACTCTTATTCCATGTTTCCCAAACCACTTTGGAATAGTATTGTTAATTTGAGTATAAGAAATATCTATCACAAATAGACTATTTTGATTGTGAAGCCATCTTGGGAATCCATGCCCCAACTTGCAATTGCATAGCACTAATGTTTGTAATTGAAAAGGAGGAATCCAATTATCACTAAATTTGAGGGTCAACATGTTCTCAGACAAGCTTAATGTTTGTAACTTGGTAAGACTATCAAAGTGGATATCACTGATAGCTCCATTTAACTCATTACCTTAAAGGTCAAGGGACACTAAAGAATTCATGTTTTTCCCAAAATCATCTGGAAGTAGGTCACCTAAGTGATTGGCTTTTCAATCTTACCTCTAATCTTGTAGCATGTTCTCTTACCCATAATCAATTAGGTGGCCTACTTCCAAATGATTTTAGGAAAAACATGAATTCTTTAGTGTCCCTTAACCTTCAAGATAATGAGCTAAATGGAACTATTAATGATATCCACTTTGATAGTCTCACCAAGGTACAAATATTAAGCCTATTTGAGAACTTGCTGACCCTTAAATTTAGTGATAATTGGATTCTTTCTTTTCAATTACAAACATTAAAGTTGTGTAGTTGCAAGTTGTGGGCTTAGATTCCCAAGATGGCTTCACAATCAAAATATTTTATTTGTGATAAATATTTCTTACACTCAAATTAATGATACTGTTCCAGAGTGGTTTGGAAACTTGGAATGAGAGTGCAATTTTTTGTATCTTTAAACTTGAGCAATATCAAAGTGCAATCCTAAATTTTTCTAGTGAATCAAGTGAAGTTGTGGCAATATTTTTGACTTCAAATCAATTAAAAGGGTTTGATTCTAGCATTCTTGTTAACATCAATGGCTACAGATATTACACAAAATCAATTTTTCAATTTTTCTCCTTCTTGATGTGAGTGTACAAGTTCTCCAGTTATTGAATTAAGTTTCTCAAGCAATAAGTTATTGGGAAAACTTCTTGATTGGTTGAATCAGTTCAAATCATTAAGATTTCTTGAATTATCCAATAACCAACTCTTTAAAAGGATTCCTAACTCTATTATTTCATTGTGTCAAATTCAATATATGATTTTATGAGACAATTGTTTTAGTGGTGAACTTCCCTCATTAGAAAATGCAACTAAAT